TACGTTTCGTGGGCAGCCCTGCCTAAGCCCCAAATATCAGGTTTACTCTCAGATGATGCAGTTGCTCAGTGTGGAGCAGCCCGAGATGGCTGGCTTGGGGGTTCTCCTGTTGGTTAAGAAGGATGTACGCACACCTCCAAAATTCATCTGTTACACCCCCTATCACACCCCCAGCTAACTTAATAAAGCGTTGAATGACGTCACGCTTCTATCTACAAAAGACAGTTTTCTCAGACAAGAGGGAGCACACGCTGAATTAAGGGACCAGTTTACATCAGAGAAGAAAGAAGGGTAGAGAATCATGGTCCCGACACGTCACAAAGCAGTCATGTGTTCAGTGAGCTTGTAAATGTACCCAACCCTGTGAAATACAACACAAATGCATTTCTGTGTATCTCTACACACACCACCCCTGTTCTAGTACAGAGTAGCCTTCTCCTTATTAAAAGGGGAAACGCTACAGAGTTTTGACAGGTAAACTTCAATTTCTTTCTAACTATTCATTGTGATAAATGTATGTTCTGTTCACATCTTGCCCCATAGAACTTTTTCCTTTTTTTTTCTTTTTTTTTACGTGTAGCTGTGGTACGATCTTTATTATCTTCTGTTTCGCATTTTATCTTATTTTATTTTTCTTGACTGATTTTAAACAGAGAGGAAGGGAGAGGGAGAGAGGGATAGAAACATCGATGAGAGAGAACATAGATTGGCCGCCTCCTGCATGCCCCCCACTGGGGATCAGGCCCACAACCTGGGCATGTGCCCTGACCGGAAATCGAACCGGTGACCTCTTGATGCAGGGTCAATGCTCAACCACTGAGCCACACTGGCTGGGCTGTTTTGCATTTTAAAGGGCTTCATTAGGTTTGAAGCTTTTCATTAAGTTGTATTATTTGAGGACACATACAAGCTGGAGGCAGAGGAGACAGCGATGTTTCTAGGAGGGAGAATTACAGGCAGCCCCCAACCGCCGGGAAGGACAAGGAATAGAGTCTTCAAGACCCTCTGCAGGGCACCGGAGCCTGCCCGCCCCGATTCTGATTCCTCCTTCTGGCCCCGTGAAGTGCGAGCAAATACTTGCAAACCGCTTCCCACGCCGAATGGTGGGAATTGGTCACAGCGGCGGGAAGTGATCGTCGCTAACTCATGTGCATCGAGGCTGTGCTCTGAGCGCCACCGAAAGTCACGGAATGAATGAACAGACGGAGGAAAGGAGCCGGGAAGGCGGACATTAGGAACTAAGGACCCAAGTGACACGGTTAGTATCTCAGAGAGTAATTTAGTTGCAGTGTTAAGGATGTACTAGTTCACATGTGGTGAAAGAAGAATTAATTCCCAGGGTGTGTTTTTTTTTTGGTTAATCCTCACCTGAGGATATTTTTCCATTGATTTTTAGAGAGCATGGAAGGGAGGGAGGGAGGGAGAGAGAGAGAGAAACACCGATGTCAGAGACACATTCATCGGTGCCCCCCCCATGACCCCCCCTGGGCCGGGAATCAAACCTGCTGCGCGTGGGCATCTCAGGCCACAGGGCATTTGCTTCACCTGGAATGTCCTCTCATGCCCCTGCATGAGGCGCCTACTCAGATTTTAAAGCTCAGCTAGAGGCTTTAAAATCCCCTCTAAAATTAGGCAGCCACTCTGCCCCAAAGAAGGTTCTGTCCTTAGAATCAGTCTGCAGGTGACGTCACAGAAATGTTAACGCCGAGAGAGAAGGTAAAAGGAAGGTAGGCACATGTTTACCTGGGGGGGACTTGGGTTCCAGAGGATTTCAGTGATTTACTCATTTCAACAAGGTGCTGGGCACACAAAAAAAATAAAATAAAATAGATTTTCTGACTGCAATGTATCATTAAAATAGTCTTTTTTTCTGTAGTGTGTGTTTGCACGGTTGGGAGCGTTAGAGGTCCATGGGAATCAGTCAAGTGCCAGCAGAAACGTCTGTGGTCCTGCTAGAAGACGAGGCCTTAGCTTCCCACATGATACTTCAGTGTGATTTCAACCACAATCGAAATCGGTTTGATTTGTATTGATAATAGGGGTTTCAGTCAGAGGGAAACATCTTGTTTAAAAATGAACATAAACTAGAATAAAGTACCACATTGAAACTTTTTCTTTCCCATGTGTTCTTGCATTGTATTGATATCTATTTACCTGTCTGCCACTTACACAGGTAACCAACCATCCATCTATCTGCAGCTGACCCTTCAACAACTCAGGGGTTCGAGGCACCCACCCCTACAGTTGAAAATCTGCAAATAACTCTTGACTACCCCAAAAGTTAGTCATCCTTAGTACCTGTGGAGGATTGGATCCATTACCCGCACAAATATCAAACTCTGTGGGTGCTCAATTTCCTGTATAAGACGGGGTAGATCAATGCGTACAGTGGGCCCTCCGCACCCCAAGTGCAGATCAAAAAGAGTCCAGGTGTGTATTGAAAAAAATCCAGGTGTAAGAGGTCAAACCTGTGTAGTTCAAGGGTCAACTGTATACGAAATAGAGGCAAATAAAGATAATATTCCCCATCATGTGATTTTTTTTTTATCCTCACCCGAGGACATTTTTGCATTTTTCTTCAGATAGAGCAGAAGAGAGAGGGAGGGAGAGAGAGAGAAACATTGATGCGAGACAGACACCTCGACTGGTCGCCACCCACACGACCCCAACCGGGCCGGGTATGAACCACAACCCAGGGAACCAAACCCGGGACTCTCTGGTCCTGGGCTGACGCTCTAACCGCTGAGCCAAACCGGCCAGGGCTCGTCACATGATTTTGACGTCACTGCCCTCAAAGGGGCTGGCAATGCTTTCTGTCACCCACCAGCCACCCGCCTGGGTGTCACACTGCCCGGAACAGACGAGGTGACCGGCACAGTTTCCGACACTGGCTAACGAGAGTGGCGAAGTCAGCTGACGAGGCAAGAGCATGTAACATGTATATGTGTCCACAGTCTGACATAACTGACGTCAATCTCGATTAATGAAATTAATGATTCATTACTTCAGATACCAGAGAAACGTGTCTCTGTGAAGCAGGTGCAAGGCGCCCGGCTCATGCCTACTAAAGGGAGTTGAGGAGCGCTTCCATCGGTAACTTCCGCTCAGTCTCCCTCTTCCGCTGCCATTCCTATCCCCAGAAATCAAACATGATGATAATGAAAACTCAACCACGTGTGTATTGAAATAATATATTTTTATTCTGTTAAGGCAAATTTACAAGGTGGCCTTTCATAACGGAGAAAGAGGTCATTAGGCCAGGGATCCGGGGTCGCTGTCTCATTCCAATCACATGGCTGTTATCTCTGGATCGAGGGCTCTTCCAGGTCCTGAGATAATTGTCTTTGTCAGCCCAGCAAGTGAGGAAGGAAGAAAAGGACAAGCAAGGACAAGCTGCCGTGTCCCTCATAAGAACAGGCAGGGTCGCCCTGGCTGGTTTGGCTCAACGGTTGGAGCGTTGGCCTGCAGACCAGAGAGTCCCGGGTTTGGTTGCCACCAGGGGAATTTTCCAAAAAAAAAAAAAAAAAAAAAGGACAGGCAAGTTCAGCTTCATGAATGTGCCACCTCGGACGATTCTGAGGACCCCACACAGCAAAGGACTCATGCCTGGTTTAAAGTGCTACTGTCACCATCTGGAAATTCTTAACAAGGTCGGACATGTACATTTTCATTTTGCATTGAACCCTGCAAATCATGGGGTTGGCTCTGAGAAAATGGGCCACGCACACATCCCTTCTTCTTGCCTCCTGGTTGCCAGAATTTGGGCGGATGACTGCAACGGGTCACAAGACATGCTAAGGGATCAGCTATCTTTTGTCGTTGTTGTTAATCCTCACCCAAGGATATTTTCCCATTGATTTTTAGATAGAGTGGAAGGGAGAGAGAGATAGACAGACAGACATCGATGGGTTGCCTCCTGCACCCTTACTGGAGGCTGGAATTGAACTGGGGACCCTTTGGTCCTCCAGCCAATGATCTAACCATTGAACTAATCGACCAATGCAAGGTGCACTATCATTAAGGTAGAGAGTGCCAGCTAACACTCGGGGGTTCTAATAATGAAAGAGGTAAAGAGTCAATACGTATTATCCATATCAAATAAACTCAGCCACCCTGTGCTCATTTTCCATTGTTTTATCCTTGGAACCTAAGGCAACAGGCACATGTTTAGGGCTTGGTATGTTTTTTATGGAATAAATAAATATATGGTTCAATCACTGTATCAACAGAGCAAAAACAAAGTTAAGTCTTTTGATTTTCGGTAGATTCATATCCTGAAGGCAATGAAGAACATGAGACTGGCCCAATCTAGAAATAGTCAATATTCGCTACACGCTTTTCAGATCATTGGCCCACCATAAACAAAAGTGAGTCCTGTGGAGGTCTATTTTCATAACTCTAAATCCTGTTGGACCAAACTAGACGTTACAGAGGTGCACGAGCTCAGATCACTGCTGGGTGAAGTAGTCTCAATTGAGACACAGCTGGGTACCTTAACTTCCTTTCCATACCCACCTTAACCAAGAGCGATATATTCAAAAACCAAACAGCCTGACCAGTGTGGTTCAGTGGTTGAGCGTTGACACTGCACCAAGAGGTCACCAGTTCAATTCCCAGTCAGGGCACATGCCCAAGTTGTGGGCCCGATCACCAGTGGGGGCATGCAGGAGGCGGCCAATCGATGTTCTCTCTCATCGATGTTTCTTTCTCCCTCACCCTTCTTTTCTCTCTAAATTCAATAAAGAAAAAAATAAATAATAACAAAACAAAACAAAAAAACCTGTTAGAACAACTGTACGTAAGGCATAGACCCAAACGATAGGCTGCCACGTGTGAAAGTGGTGTAAACATCAGAATTATAGCAACACGGAGCCATCTAGTATTCAGGAAAGAAACTGCTGTCCCGAGAGAAGGACCATGTAGAGAAGAACCATGTAGGGAAGGACCATGTAGAGAAGAACCATGTAGAGAAGGACCATGTAGAGAAGAACCATGTAGAGATGGACCATGTAGAGAAGGACCATGCAGAGAAGGACCATGCAGAGAAGGACCATGCAGGGAAGGACCATGTAGAGAAGAACCATGTAGAGAAGGACCAGGCAGAGAAGGACCATGTAGAGAAGGACCATGTAGAGAAGGACCATGTAGGGAAGGACCATGTAGAGAAGGACCCTGTAGAGAAGGACCATGTAGGGAAGGACCATGTAGGGAAGGACCATGTAGAGAAGGACCATGTAGGGAAGGACCATGCAGAGAAGGACCGTGTAGGGAAGGACCATGTAGAGAAGGACCGTGTAGGGAAGGACCATGTAGAGAAGGACCGTGTAGAGAAGGACCGTGTAGAAAAGGACCGTGTAGAAAAGGACCGTGTAGAAAAGGACCATGTAGAGAAGGACCATGTAGAGAAGGACCATGTAGAGAAGGACCATGTAGGGAAGGACCATGCAGAGAAGGACCATGCAGAGAAGGACCATGTAGGGAAGGACCATGTAGAGAAGGACCATGTAGAAAAGGACCATGTAGAGAAGGACCGTGTAGAAAAGGACCATGTAGAGAAGGACCGTGTAGAAAAGGACCATGTAGAGAAGGACCATGTAGGGAAGGACCATGTAGAGAAGGACCATGTAGAGAAGAACCATGTAGAGAAGGACCATGTAGAGAAGAACCATGTAGAGATGGACCATGTATAGAAGGACCATGCAGAGAAGGACCATGCAGGGAAGGACCATGTAGAGAAGAACCATGTAGAGAAGGACCATGTAGAGAAGGACCATGTAGAGAAGGACCATGTAGGGAAGGACCATGTAGGGAAGGACCATGTAGGGAAGGACCATGTAGAGAAGGACCCTGTAGAGAAGGACCATGTAGGGAAGGACCATGTAGAGAAGGACCATGTAGGGAAGGACCATGCAGAGAAGGACCGTGTAGGGAAGGACCATGTAGAGAAGGACCGTGTAGGGAAGGACCATGTAGAGAAGGACCATGTAGAAAAGGACCGTGTAGAGAAGGACCATGTAGAAAAGGACCATGTAGGGAAGGACCGTGTAGAAAAGGACCATGTAGAGAAGGACCATGTAGAGAAGGACCATGTAGGGAAGGACCATGCAGAGAAGGACCATGCAGAGAAGGACCATGTAGGGAAGGACCATGTAGAGAAGGACCATGTAGAAAAGGACCATGTAGAGAAGGACCGTGCAGAGAAGGACCATGTAGGGAAGGACCATGTAGGGAACGACCATGTAGGGAAGGACCATGCAGAGAAGGACCATGTAGAGAAGGACCATGTAGGGAAGGACCATGCAGAGAAGGACCATGTAGGGAAGGACCATGTAGGGAAGGACCATGCAGAGAAGGACCATGTAGAGAAGGACCATGTAGGGAAGGACCATGCAGAGAAGGACCATGTAGGGAAGGACCATGTAGGGAAGGACCATGCAGAGAAGGACCATGCAGAGAAGGACCATGCAGAGAAGGACCATGCAGAGAAGGACCATGTAGGGAAGGACCATGTAGAGAAGGACCATGTAGGGAAGGACCATATAGAAAAGGACCATGTAGAGAAGGACCATGCAGAGAAGGACCATGTAGAGAAGGACCATGTAGAGAAGGACCATGTAGGGAAGGACCATGTTGGGAAGGACCATGCAGGGAAGGACCATGCAGAGAAGGACCATGTAGAGAAGGACCATGTAGAGAAGGACCATGTAGGGAAGGACCATGTTGGGAAGGACCATGTAGAGAAGGACCATGTAGAGAAGGACCATGCCTGGTACGTTATTGCAAGGGCATTGGGCCACACGGGGTCATTGTGCTGACCTCAGGCGTTTGTATGTGAAATTTCCAAAAGGTTCATCAACAGCATGTTACCCAAAACAGATTTAGGCCATAAAAGGGGTATAAGATTTCTATTTCTGGATAATATTCTTAAGAAAAAAAAGTTTAGTTCCTGCTAAGTTACTGAAGACATGTAGCGTTGCTGTGTTTTCTAAATTGTCGACATCCCATCCCTACAAAAGTGCATTAGCGGAGCCACGTGCGCGATCCGAGGTGGCCCTGCAGAGACACCTGCAGAGGCTGTGTTACTATCACAGATGAACCAGCATCTCAAAGGCCGTGAAATGCCAGGGCTGGAAGAGAGGTCCGTTTGTTTCTCTTGTACAACGTGCAGGATGGGTGTGTGGGAGCTGCTCAGAGTCTTCACTTCAGGAATAGCCTGGGCTCCTCCACCCTTGACACGCGATTTTCTGGGTGGCTCCTCTCGTGGCCGTTCACAGACAGGGCAGCAGGTGGGTGGTGGGAATTTAGACCCAGAGCCACACTTACCTCCAAGCGGGGGAAGGAAAAGTGATTTATCTGGGAAGCTTTGTACCTAGGGAGAAGGAGAACATGGACTTGAGGGAGTAAACAGGAAAATGTAACAGTTTTTCCCTGGATACATTTTGTAAAAGTTGAGCTGTTTGCTTGAAAGGATTTGTGCCTATGGAACTTCTAGTGATACACTGGGTATCCTAGGAATTATGAATTCTAAAACAGCTTTTATGGAGCTTGGATTTACATTTACAGAAAAATTATAAAGATAGGAAAGGGTTTCTATACCCCCTCCCAGTTTTTCTTGTTATTAACATCTCATATCATTGTGGTACCTTTGTCACAATTAATAAATACTGTAACATTATTATTAACTGAAATCTCAATCCAAATTCCTTAGTGTTTACCTATTGACTTTATTTTTTTCTAAATAATGTTTTTAAATTAATTTTTGCAGAGAGAGAAAAGGAGAGGGACAGAGAGAGGTAGAAACATCTGAGAAAGATACATCGATCGGCTGCCTCCCACATGCCCCCTACAGGGGGTAAAACCAGCAACCCCGGCAAGGGTCCTGACCGAAATCAAACCCATGACTTCTTGGTGCAGGGGCGACACACAATCCACTGAGCCACAGTGGCCACACCTAATGACTTTGCTTTATTGCTGGTGGTACTAAGGCAAATTGAATAGTAGAAACCTGTTGAATGTTTTTTCCAAAAAAATCCAATCTAATGTTCAATAATAACAAACACACAAAGCAATGTTTGAATTCATTTACTGGGGCGTCACTCTGCAATCCACTTCTTGCTATTCTTCTGCTTCATGTATGTTCATTTCCTGGTCAGACAATGTATTTGTGAGTTAGTATGTCCCATCTAGACTGTCGCTGTTTCCAAAGAAAGTATTGACTATGCTAATGAATGAGAACATGTTTATTAGAAAGAGGCATTTATTAAACTGTTTATGATTTCAGCATAAATGATAACAGACTACCTGGCAAAAAGTTTTGGGAGACAAAGAACATAAAATGAATTATTGAATGATAGACATTATGTCATGAATTATAAATTTTCAGCAATACAGTAGACTCACCAATTTGAAAACAAAACCAAAACCAAACCCTCCCCTTAGTAGCAAACTTTTGGAGACCATTCACGATTGTTTTATGCCCATAATAATGCAGGTTAGAGGGAGAAGCAAGTTAGAAATCTGGGGTGAGGTCACCATTTTACCTTGTAGCCCTACTGCATAGATATTTAATTTATCAAGCATTAGGTAGTATAGTTATTATGTGACAGTCACATTGTATAACCATAGAATGAAATAGTACTTTGGCCATAAAATGGTTACTTTGATTGCCAGAACACGAGATCATTTTAAATGTGGAATTTCTGCTTCAGATTGAATTGCATTTATATGTGCTAATTTATCTCATGTCCTCAGTATCAAATAATTTGACATGGATATTCTAATTCATAAGCCGTTCATCGTTCATTGAAATAGCTGATGTTGCCTTCATGTGTAAGAAATGGCGATGTAAGAATTTCCAGCTGTTATGCATTTACCAAATATTGAAATACTAAGTGGATTGATTATAGTTTATGTTTCTATCTCTAGAAGCCTGGAGGAGAGAAAAGTTGAATGTCAGCAGTAGAAGAGTAGACAGTAAGCAGGCAAAGTATCAACTCCCAGGTTTTAAAAATGCAGTCAATTGTACTATTATTGCCAAAGAATACCACACGCTTCACATCTGTGCCCCTGTGACTACCAGTTGTAAACGCTGTGCCTACGGCCAGAGGGCAGTGCAATTTTGCTAAAATATTATTCTGATTAAATGATCCAGGCACCGAATCAGGATGAGGTTGTTATCACAGTTTCTCCAAGCTTGATTTATTTAATGTTCTTTTCAATGGTCACATTGATTTGGGAGACCTATCCGTACCTTCTTAAAATAGCAAGACAAGTCTATTATTTAAAGTTGCATATTCTACTAGGTTTCCAGAATTCTCAACTTTCTTTCCAGTTGCATTTCTATTTTCCATAACTCCCACTTTAGCAAATGTATGTATAGTTTTATTTTGATTTCAAATTGTTTCAAATGTTTTTTTTTTTCTTGAAATGAATACATGTTTGGTCTGTTCAAACTGAAGGGACCTTCAATGTCCTTTATAAGAAAAGAAAAGGGGTCATTTACAAAAACAGACAAAAAAATCCTATATGGCTAGAGAGCAATATATGGTCTTGGTTCCTTCCAAAATATTTCTTCAATGTTGACAAGAATTAAAAAAATAATAACTTTTTTGCATTGTTTAAATGCAGTTAAAAAAGACCACCAGCTGTTGGGAAATTGGACAGATATATGCAAAAACAAAAACAAAAAAACTAGACCACCTTCTTACACCATATACAAGAATAAACTCAAAATGCATTAAAGACTTGAAGACTCAAAACTCTAAAACTCCTCAAAGAAAACTTAGGCAGTAAAATACATTTGTTTTAACAATATTCTTTTTCTGACATATCTAATTTAGACAATAGAAAAAATAAACAAACAGAACTACATCAAACTGAAAACGTTTTGTACAGCAAAGGAAATCATTAATAACATGAAAAGATAACCTACTGAATGAGGGAAAATATTCACTAATTATACACCCTCTAAGGGGTTAATATCCAAAATGTATAAAGAACTCAGACAACTCAACACCCCCCCACACACACAAAAAACACACACAAAAAAAATCAAATTCAGAAGTGGACAGAGGACCTGAATAGACACTCCTCCAAACAGGACATACAAATGACATATGAAAAAATGCTCAACATCACTAATCATCAGAGAAATGCAAATTAAAACAACAATGAAGTATCACTTCACATCTGTCAGAATGGCCGCCATCAACAAATCATCGACAACAAGTGTTGGCGAGGGTGTGGAGAAAAGGGGACTCTAGTGCATTGCTGGTGGGAATGCAGACTGGTGCAGCCACTATGGAAAACAATATGGTGCTACCTCAAAAAATTAAAAATTAAATTGCCATTTGACCCAGGGATCCCCCTTCTAGGAATATACCCTAAGAACCTTGAAACACCAATCAGAAAGAATATATGTACCCCTATGTTCATAGCAGCACTATTTACAATAGCTAAGATCTGGAAACAGCCCAAGTGTCCATCAGTACATGAATGGATAAAAAAGGTGTGGTATGCCCTGGCCAGTTTGGCTCAGCGGTTAGAGCACTGACCTGCCGTCCATAGAGACCTGGGTTCGGTTCCCGCTAAGGGCATGTACCTCGGTTGCAGTTTATCCCCGGCCCTGGTTGGTGGTGTGGGTGGCAGCCACTGGATGTGTCCTTTTCACGTCAATGTTTCTCTCTCTCTCTCTTCCTCTCTCTCCCTCCCACTCTGCCTAAATAAAGAATGGAAAAAAAGTCCTCCGTTGAGGACAGGAAAAAAAAAAAGCTGTGGTACATACACACAATGGAGTACTATGCAGCTGTAAGAAAGAAAGATCTCTTATCCTTTGAGACGACATGGAGGGACTTGGAGAGTATTATCCTAAGCGAAACAAGCCAAACAGAGAAAGACAAATATCACATTATCTCACTTATTTGTGGAATATAATGAACATAACAGTCTGAGGAACAGGATAGACCCAGAGACATGGAAGTGGGGTACAGACTGACAACCCTCAGAAGAGGGGAAGAAGGGGAGGGAAGAGATAAACCACAGAACTTATATGCATATAGGCATAACTGATGGACACGGACAACAAAGCTGGGAATGAGATGGGAGGATGGGGAGGAGGGTGTCAATGAGGAAAAAGGGGAAACATCTGTAACAAAAATAATTTTTAAAGAAGAATTTGAGGGAAAACAAATTTAAAAAATTAAAAATAAAAGTTTATTTCCCTCGCCAAAAAAAAAAAAAAAAAAAATCCTCAATGAGATATCACCTCACAACTGTCAGAATGGCCATCATCAATAAATCAACAAACAACCAGTGTGAGTGAGGATGTGGAGAAAAGGGCACCCTTGTGCACTGTCGGTGGGCTTGCAGGTTCCCACCAACAGTATCGAATTTCAGTAGAAAACAGTATGCAAGTCAACAGAAAACAGTATGGAGTTTCCACAAAAAACAAAAATGGAACTGCCTTGTGACCCAGTGATTCCACTTCTAGGTATATATCCAAAGAAACCTGAAACACTAATTCAAAAAAGGATATGCCCCCCTATGTTCATTGCAGCATTATATCCAATAGCCAAGGTTTGGAAGCAACCCAAGTGCCTATCAAAAGACTAATGGATGAACAAGTAGTGGTACATACATACAAAATAAAATACTACTCAACCATGAAAAAGAAAAGAAATCTTACCATTTGTAATATCATGGATGGACCTAGAGAATATTATGCTAAGTGAAATAAATCAGGGAAAGAAAAACATACCATATGATTTCACTTATATGTGGAATCTAAAAGGCAAAGCAAATGAACAACAGAAAAATA